TTATATTGTCTTAATATTACCCAATTATAAATTAATATAATATTTAAATTTATTTTTTACTTACTATAAATATATAAAAATTATTATTTACAATAATATAAATTTATGTTATAATTATTAATATTACTGTATTTAGAATTTTATACTATTTAAGCGTTAACTATAATATTAAAAGATTATTATTCGCAAAAAACAACAACAAAAAGTATTTTTGTATTTTCTTTATAAATAAATTTATTATAAAAAATCAATTTTAATGTATATGTAAAATATAATGACATAATTATAATGTTTATGTAAAATCATATATTTGTATACAGTATTAAAAATTTTAAATTATATGATAATATATTTTATATATAACATTTTTAAAAACACGAAAATGTCATTATTTTATAAAAAAAAAGTTTAATGTTTAAAATAACAATTTATATAAATCAAACTTGTAATTTTATGTATATTAAATATATGTTTGTTAATGTTGTTTTATTTAAAACATAAAAATTAAATTAGATGTTTTGAATATATATAAATTTAAACTACGATATAGTAATGTATATAATAATTTATATATAATTTTTATTTATAATTACAATTAGTGTTTTGAATTATAATATGATTAGAATTTTTTTAATAGTTATGTTATTAATTGAAACATAAAATTATTATTAGAAATTACAAAAATATTTTTATTTATATTTTATTTTTTTAAATACTAAATAACTGAAATTCAATATAAAAAAATAAAACCTAATACTTTAATATATATAAAATAAGAATTCAAAATATTTTATGTTAACAAAATTATATTGTAGTTAACAACAAAAACAAAATATGTTATACAAGTTTATTGACAATTATTGAATAACGTTATTTCTCTTTTATGTTATTGATTTTATCGGCAAATATCATAATAATAATTGAATATCACTTCTATAAGTAGGTAAACATAATAATAGATGCATTGATCCATAACTTAATAACACAATAACATTATCATAGAGTATGTGTTTCTTTCTATATTACATACAATATTCATAAGCATATACTGTAGAAATAGGTTCACTGAATTGATTGCATTAAAAAAAATTTTTGGTGAGAAATATTTTTTCATTTTAAATGTTATACTCATTATTATTGATCTTTCATCAAACAAATATATACTGAATATTTGTAATATATTTTTATAAAGATTTCTGGGAACTAATACTTTTTCTTTGACTTTTACTTTTTATTTCTTAGAAAAATGCCGACAAAATATTTCTTTGTTTGTTATTTTTCACTATCTATTTAATTATTATAAACAAAATCACATATATTTTGTATATTGTACTTACAATATATATATATAAACACTATTATATACAAATACTACAATATATATATAACTATACAATATAAAATATAAATTTATATATATAATGTATTTATACAGTATAAAGGTAACTAACTTAAATAACTATATTTTAGCATACTAATCTAAAATTTGTTTTTATCAAATTAAATAACTTGAATAAAATAATGTCAGTATATTTTAAAATAAAATTTTTAAAAAAACATTTTAACATTAGTATGTAAATTGTATATATTTTTTGTTTATTTTTTATTCACCACTAATGAACATTTGATAAATGCCTAACAATTCATATTTGTTAATATATTACATTAAACCTAATTAGTAGTATTGTCAGTAAATGTATAAATTTTGTTTGTTTGTTGTATAATATGTATAATTTTACTGTATATTATTGCGCTAATGATGTAAATTGCATTGAATATTAAGTCTTTAAATTTGTAAAACAAAACAAAAATATACAAATTTTTTAAAAAATAAACATTTATTTTTCAGATTAGTTCATTATGATTAATTAATAATTTAATAAATTAGTTGTCATTATAGAAAATTTTTATTATTATAAATAATATTGGAAAATAAATTTATGTAATATAAAATATTTATTTTTAAAAAAATATATGAATAATTAGCAAGATATAAAACGTATAAAAATAAAATTAACTTTAATAATTTAAATTAAAAATGTTTATATTTGTTACATAACTTCAAGAGTCATATGAATTTGAAGTGTTTGACTAAATATAAATTTATATTAAGAGCTCATTAACTATCACTATATAAAGGTTAGGATATTATAATATATAAAAGAGTGGGTCCAAAGTGAACAAACTTGAAATTAAGTAATACCTGTATAGTTATGTATACACAGTATTATAGATATATACCGACTCTCACTTGTGGTTGGATTGTGGAGTGGAAGGGGAGGCAAAACCCAAAAACTGATAATAAAAAAACAAATATTTAAGTTGTTATGCATAATATGTATGTGTCTTAAAAAAGCGGTTCCTGACTGTATGGACAAGAGAGGTGCTCACACTGTACATACCTGTGCCCATCAAAAAGCTAATGGTCTGCACTTTTGGGAATTTTTTCGCGAGAAATATATATATTAAAGCTTACAAACAAAATATATATTGTTTATAGTATTATATTTGTCTGTGTGTTTGCATTACGTGAGCAATTGAGAGGACAGATATAACTTTTATAGTGTGTGTGAACTGGCTATAAATATCGGGCCCAAAGTCATACAGTTTTGTTTTATTGCAAATTATTTTTATTATTATTTAAATTTATCATTTGTTTATTTTTTTCATTGATGTGTACTAAATATATTAATGTAAAAATTAATAGTATACTAATTATAATCATAAATAATTTAATCGACTTTTAGAGTGTTTATAGAAATATATATATATTTAAAAATTAAAGAGTTGTCTGATATTACAATATTCATCATAATAACTGTCAGTTTGCCGTAAGATTAAATTTTTATATATATAATAACCCATTCATCACAAAATACTTTATTTATTATTAGTTAAGCCGATTGTTTTGACAGCACTTTACTAACTAAACACATCATTATTGAAATATAAGGTAAGAATTACTAATGAATTTTATCCATAATATTTAATTGATATATAAATTTATAAATAATAGATTAAATATGTTTTTTAAATAAATAACTATGAAATATTAAATTTTGAAAATTTAGTAAAAATCATTATTTATTTAAATATATATTAAAATCTTTTAAGTTAAATATTAATAAATATTTGTAATTTTATCAAGTATATTTATTAATATACTTGATAAAATTACAAATATTAATATATTAAATATTAATATTTTTAAATATTTCATAACCTAAAGTATAGTTTGCTAATTTATTATGATTAAGTTTAATTTACTGAATTTTTTTAAAAAATGATGCCTAATATAAACGATTAAACATACAGTGAATGCATATTATATTAAATAGTTAATGCTTAAACTGGTGATATTTTATCAACATTTACCATTATATAACTTTATATATTATTTATTTTATTTTTTTAATTTAACTTGTTTGCAATATATATATATATATATATATTAATATATAAATATAATGTCATTAAAAAACGTGCATTGAATTATAAATTAATATTATTTTATACAGTAATGTCTTTAACTCAATTTAATTCAATATATAACATATTATATATTTTATATATATTTGTGATAATGAAAACACTGTATTATTTTGTGTGCAATTTAAGTTCAGAGAAAAAAATATTTGTTATCATATATAGTTTGATACACTTTTAAGCTTAAATGTTTTTATACAGCATGTTTTATTTTTTAAATCAATAAAATTTTTTAAAATAAATAGTTTAGTAATTTTTAAAAGAATACTAAATATTATTACTATAAAAACCAGTTGAAATGTCAAATTTAATTCAAACAGTTTTAACAGTAATTTTATATAATATACTATATATATATACTGTATATAAGATTTATATATATATATATATAATTTTATTTTTCATTTATTATAGATAGTAATAATTTAAAACAATTTTTTAAAAGTTAAAGTTTCTTTTTATTTTTTTTAATAACAGTAATTTTATCATTTTTGATAAATAATAAACTATCAATTGAAAGATAAAAAATTCAATGAATTAAAATAATTTTTAATATTTTTACTTATAATAAGCGAGAAAATAGGATTAAAAAATTTGTTTTAAAAAAAAGATTTTTTTCAGAAGCATAGTTAAAGCAAAAATTTTAGCAATTTTTTTTGTAATTTATTATTTGAAAGTCATATTTAAGTTTTGCCACTAATTATAGGATTTTTTTGAATTTTTTTTATATTTTTGATCATTACGTTAGATAAATATATAGATAATTATTTGCTCATTTGTTCAACAAAATAAAATAAACTTAAAGGCATAATATAATTTTTCTATTTTATCAAATTAATAAGATATTTGTATAACATATGGTTATGATTTTTTGTGGATACATCTTTGAGTGCATTTATTATTACATAAATATTTTTTTAAAACAATTTATTATTCAATAGCAAGTTTACGGTTATATATATATATATTGAAAGTAAATAAATGAGAGAGAGAGAGAGAGAGAGAGAGAGAGAGAGAGAGAGAGAGAGAGATACTCGTGTGATAATAATCATTATGTAGTTATGATATAAGATGAGAAAATAAATATAAGATATACACTATATTATTATAACTATTATTATAAGCCGTAAAAATATTTTTGAGTTTATATATATTTATAATATAATAACATTTTTTGCTATGCTTTTTTCCTGAACTACCTTTATATATATATATACAGTATATACTTTATATACAGTACTATATAAGATACGGTTAGACCGCATGTTATTATAAATGACCAGTCATTATATAATATATAACAAATGATTTTTATCTACTGCTTGATTACACATATTGTATATAATAAAAGCACCGTTCAATTTAATGACTGATCTTTTTATTTTGTTCATAGATAAGCTATAACTACTCGGATCACATTTCAACAAGTTGTCTAAAATAGACTTGAAATTATTATATAAAAATTATATATCTATAAGTAATAGACTAAAAGTCTAAATAAACAACAACACGATATGAAGTTGTTATTGCCGATAACCACTATAATAATAATAGCCCTAACCCTACATATAACATGTTCATCATTATCATCATCAAGAGTCTATTATTCAACATATTCAAGTAAGTTAATTATCATATTATATAATTTATCATTAATAAAAATATGTTTAAAAAATAGAGTGAGTGAGTGAGTGAGTGAGTGAGTGAGTGAGTGAGTGAGTGAGTRAGTGRGTGAGTGAGTGAGTGAGTGAGTGAGTGAGTGATTAGAGAGAGAAAGAGAGAGAGAAAGATAGATTATAAAGATATTATATAATTATAATCAATAAACTATATATATATGAACATTTTGTATAATATTAAATTTTAAAAAAATATATATTTCATAGAAAATATATTTTTGAAAAACTCTGATAAATATTAATAAATTATAACAGTTTATTAAAAATAAACTTTTTTTCCTGTATAATTTAAACTGATTTCTAGAAACTGTTTAGTTTGTGTTTTATTGAAACAAAAAATTTTTGAAAATTATTTTTTCATGACTTTATTATTATCATTTTGGATAATAATATACAGTATAGTACAGTACAATACATATTATTGGTAATATATAAAGTATATGTTAGACAAAACACAGACATAAAAAGTTCATTACATCCTATAAATGAATGTAAGTTTTGTGTTAAAGTTATAAGTTTATTGATCTTAAGTGGTGTTATTGAATGTTAATATTTTATTATATATATATATATAAATAATAACACACAAAAAGATAATAAAATATGTTTTTTTTGTTTCAAATAGTAATATCATATATTAGATATTTCTTATAAACATTAAATACAATCATAACTTATGATTAATCAAAATGTTTTTAGTTTTTATTCATTTTTCACATTTATATTAAATATTCTTTAAAAAAAACTTTTTTCAGTTAATTAAAAAATAGAAATAAAACAAGAAAACAAAATAAACCATTAATTTTAGTTAAGTTAAAAACACATTAACTGGTAATAAAAATTGAATTAATTGATTAAAACAAATTTTTTTTCCATTATTTCATTAATATAATTGAATGATTAATGACTATTAAAAGTTATTTAATATATTCAATATAATTATTTTTAAAAATTTAATTAAAAATTATTAAATAAAAAAACTTTTTATTTACACCCAAATACTTGTAACCCCAACCCTACAGAGCCATCGCTACCTATTAAAAGATATGCATCACATCAACAACAGTACAGATATGTTAACCAACAACAACAACAATACTATCCGTATAAGTATTATAAAAGTCAATACAGTAAACCCACGTATTATTATCAATCAGTCGGCAATCCCTATGTCCAATACCAGCCATTTGGTTCCTATAATGATCCCTATTATGTTGTCTATTATGATAAGCCATCGTATGCTAGTTCCAGACCGGTATACAAAAAGCCGACCTATCAGTACACAAGCCTATCAGTGCCGTCGACGCCAGTCGTACGCAATGAAGAGCCCATAAGCTGTGGCGCTAGCAATCAGGGCTATACCCGAGATCTGGTCGATTGCAACAAATTTGGCAAATGTGTTAAAAGCGATGCTTACGGCAGTTATCAGATATTTACGTTCAGTTGTCCCGCGGGACTGATGTTTGATGAAAAACTTCAAACATGTAATTACGCAGAACTGGTCCCAGAATGCCAGCCAACTCAGTATCCACCCGTTCGCGAGAAAATGCCGGTCGGGTCGGCAGTTAGCAGTTCTTCAAGTGGTGAGTCAGCTGTAGGAGCTGTAGACAAACACCGGCCACATCCAGGCGATGACGTCCAGAAAGAGGCTCACGAAGAGGAAAACAAGGAGGCGATGGATAAGCACTTAGAGGAGCAAAATGAGTTGGAGAGACAACGCGAGAAACATCGTCCGTCAAAACATCGGCCACACGTTGAACAACAACACGAAGAACACGAACCGCAACAACACGAAGAAGAACACGAACCACAACAACAGGAACAACAACAAGAAGAGGAACAACCCGTACAACAACAAGAACAACAACAACAGCAACAGGAAGAAGAAAACGAAATACAACAACAACAACAGGAAGAAGAAAAGCCGGTCCAACAACAGGAGCAACAACAACAAGAAGAGGAACAGCCAGTTCAACAACAAGAACAGCAGCAACAGCAACAAGAAGAAGAAGAACAACCCGTTCAACAACAACAACAACAGGAAGAACAGCAACAGGAAACACAACAACAACAGCAACAACAAGAAGAAGACGACAATGATGTCCAACAACAACAGCAACAAGAAGAGGAACAGCCTGTCCAACAGCAGCAGCAACAACAACAAGGAGGAGGACAGGGATATGATGAAGACGAAGATGACAAGCGGGCCAGAGTTCAGCCGTCATTGGAAATTGCGGCCCAATTGAGAACCGGTACTAAAGGTGGTAGTAAACCATCACCTATTAAGGGACCGACAACTACCACAACCAAAGCCCCACCAGTCAAAGGACCGCATTCAACAACCAGTGCACCCGTCAAAGGTTCACCAAAACCTACAACTTCTAAACCACCAGTCAAGGGACCATCGACTACAGTAACATCGCCTCCTGTTAAGGGGCCCTCCACTACTACAACTCAAAAACCACCTGTGAAAGGCCCACAAAGTACTACACCTAAACCACCTGTTAAGGGGCCAACCACTACAACAACCCGTGCACCTGTAAAAGGTCCATCGAGTACCAGTGCTGCTCCTATTAAGGGTTCGTCAACAACGTCCAGTGCTCCCACCAAAGGTCCATCATCTTCGCGGCCATCAAAACGTCCTAAAACTCGTCCACCAATGAGACTAACAACTCAAAGCACATCAGCAGTTACCGAGTCCAGCCAATCGACAATAACATCTACTGTAGCGCCGACTATAACAGTTCCCACCACTCGAAGCCCGCGACCGTCGCGACGAACAACACCCAAAAATAAGCCGAAACCGCAGTTCAAACCGAGACCGTCAACTCCCCCGTCGGCTGATGGAGATGTGGCCGAAGTTGTGGTGGACGACGAACTGATTCAAGAAAAGAAATAATGAAAATAATTAATTTTTGACTAATAATTAGCTTTTTTTAAAAATTAATTTATTATTTATTAATTTATTGAATATTATTTTTTTGAGTTATTTATTATTTCATTTCATGGTTTGATATTATTGACTAAATGTACTCAAAATGTGATTACTATTATTATTTAGGCATCTATTGGTTTGAATTGATGTTAAATATTTTTTATGTGTTTTTTTAAATACCAGTGAAAAGTTTAGTTATAATTTGTAATTGAAAAACGTTTGTCTTAATTGTATTTATTTATAAATCAAATTTCATTAATTTTTTACTCATATTATTTTAATAGTCAAATTGCCAATTATTTGATTAAATAATAATTACCTCTTTTTCATCAACAAATCAGTGTATTTATCAATTAATTTAAGTATTATTTATTTATTTATTTAATATTTTTTAGTAATAATATAACAATTATGTCAATATTATAACAATATGTTAACTTCACTGTATTTTTATATACAGTATATAATGTAATTTGTAATAAAATTATAAAATAAAAATCTGCACTAATAAATTGCATTTTTAAAATAAATTTTTTAATCAAATATCATATTAACTAATATTTTCACAGTTTATGGCAATGTTTTTTAAAGTGAAAGGAGAAAAACGATATATAATTATATATTTTTCATCAATAATTTATTTAACTTTTTAAATGAAATTGACATAAATATATAGTTATTGATTAGACACTCACGAAAAACTATTTACTGTAACTTATATTATATACCGTATGAAAAACAGTGTATATATTAAATTTAATTTACGACATAATATACTGTAGTTTCCCTATTATTAGGTAAATAAAGGGTTTTCAGAAGAAAGAGTTAAAAACGTGTTTTTAATTTAATGATAGATATGGGCGTCTGATATGTTATCATATATAATATAATGATAATCATCTGTACAAAGTGACTACCAGTGCCCAAACTGGCAATCAGTAGTATAAAATTAATTGTGGTGTTAAAAAAAATCAAAATGGTAATTTTGCCACCAGAAATTTAAATATAAACATTATTTATAATAAATATATTTTATAAATATCTTATAATTAAATAAGGGTTCATTAGTCTATCAAAATATAAATCTTATTATATATAAAATTATATGATAAAATTTTTTTCAGTTAAAATTAAAAGGTTATATCTCATCAATATTAAAATTTTTGGTTGTCCTCTAACTGTACAGTAAAACCCTTTAAGCATTAAATCGTTTATTTTATTGAAAAGTTTTAGTTTAGGTTTTTATCAATAGAAAATCACAGTTAAATAAAATAAACATTACTTATACAGTAGTTTATAGTTATATACATTTCAACGATTTTCTCTCTAATCATTACAGTTATTCAAATGAATCACGTAATCGCTTAACGCTAACTTAAAACAGCATTTTTACATTTAAAATAGTTTTTTATAATATTAATAGAAGTATAATATAATTGAATACTTTATATACATTATATACTATATATATATATATATATATATATATTACTTACAAAACAGATATAACATTTCAATTGCACGGCATAACAAACATTCTTATAGTTATTAAAATACAGTATTTTATACATAGTTTTATAAATATAAATATATAATGTAAATATAATGTAATATTATATGGAATAATTTGTTATCAATTTGATTAATAATAAAATAATTTTATTAATAAATTCAAGCAATGTTAAGGAAATTCAATAAATATTTAGTATTTAAAGGGTTGTCATAAACTAAAAAAAATATTTCATCAGAAATTTATATATATATATAATATTATTAATAAATTCATTATTAAATACTCAGTTTCATTTTTTTAAACATTAATTATTTATCAGTAATTTTTTTATCAAAAAAATGATGTTATAAGTAAAATACAGTACCGTTAGTATATAACTGTTAGTTGAACTCATAACTAACTAAATATTTATAATGTATTTTATATGCAAAGCATTTTATAGTTAAAATTATTATCAGTCTGAGATCTCATGTTTTTTATCGTCAATTATTAATAAAAAAAATAGTTACTATATATAATAATATATATATATATTTAATGTTTATTTAYTTAAAGAAAATATTTATTTAGAAAAATGTTAATTAATTGTTATTTTATAATTATTATTATCATCATTTAGGGTCAAATACTGCAAACTCGTGTCTTAAAAAATATAGACATTAATTATTTTATTATAAGACACTAAATTTGTATTTGTTTTCCGCATTTTTTCTTTAATGTTTAATAGTAGTAGAAATAATTTTTTATATTAATTAAAACATTTTATTGGTAATGAAATGTTAGATTTTTATGGTTTAAGTCCTTATCTTATTATAATTTATATTACTAGAAGATTATGAATGATTTTATCTTTAGATTTTAAATGACAAATTCATTATTATTATTATTATTTTGCTTATTAATTGCTTATTATATTTGCAACAAAAAATAATATATTAACAAAAAAATATATATTTAATAAAACTATTAATAATAAATACTGTATTATTACCACTAATGGTATTTAAACTTTATTTAAATTATTTATATCAATACTATAAATAGAGTTAGTCTTTTGATATTCATTATTAGATACTGAGAACTGTTGGCTTATAATTGAGAGGTTATCCCTATAAATAGGATTAATCTGTAGTTTATTTAGATCTTCGCTGTGAATAGTACTGTAGTAGTAGTCATCAGCACATGTATTGTGTTTATCATTGACGTCCGGGTCATCGGCACCGACACCACAATGAGTTTCCCAATAGCCTTCATCTTCGGCATCACCGCCACACGACTCATAGTAATTGTTATCTATTCGGGTCTTAATTTCTTTGAGTTTCTTGCGGTGCCTAATCTGTCGGGCCTTAAATATGCTAAATATAAGACATACAATCAGTAATACACAGCATAATAGTGTTGCCGATAGTACACGTATTACTACTTTGGACACCGATAAGGACTGGGATTCAAAAGATAGTATGCAATGTGGTCGGTTTCGGGGATTGTTTGCTAATCCCTGCCACTGGCCATTACGGCAAACGGCATGAGAAACACCAGTCAATTGATAAATACGGCTATTATTTGCTCGACATGTGAACTGAGCTGTAGCTCCGTTAGGCACCAGTAGTTCATCACTCGGTTGTCCACGAATTGTTTTCTCATACTTAATATCCAACAGCTGAGCATCTAATTCATCAAATTTTAGGCCTGTGCAGTTGGCTCGGGGCACACATTTGGGAAAGTCGTGCTCCCATTTGCCATTATGTCCACACCCAACATGTGATAAACCTGTATATAATTAATGATTAAAAATAAAAATTAGATTTTTTTGGGTGTTTATTAACTACAAAATTGTCTGTTATTAAACAAAACAAAAATGTAATATTCTATATATAAATTTATATAAATATATTCAATATATACTGTATATATATAAAGTTAAATATGATAATTACAAGAGTTTAGCATAAAATAAGATATAACTTACTTTCACACACCGGGCTATTGAAAGTGAAATCAAACTGTTATGTTAATGTATGTTATAAGTTATAATTGATGTTTTATGGCTAACATATCAATCAGTTTCTAAAAGTAATGTCATGTCTTAAAAAGCATAATATCATATATCATATTTTACATTTTTGAAAAAAACTTGTTTTATTCAATAACAACAAAAAATAGTAAGTCTATTAATGAAATTTTTAAATTTGCATTTACTAACGTTTTTTTTTCTAAAAAGGTTAATCAATTTTAAACAGTATAATGATTTAATAATAATACTAATACTTAACTATAAGTTTAACATATAAAAATAATTTATTAATATTACTAAACATAAATTTAATATAGAAAAAATAACTTATTATTTTTAATAGAAAAATTATCTTTTAAAAAAATTATTAATGATATTGTGGTAATTAGATAATCACAATAATATTGAATAAATAAGTTCAACATGGCTATTTATTTCAATATTTATAAATTATAATACTGTATAGTATAGTGTATACTATACAGTGTGTAGGTATTGATAAATTAAATAATAAGTAAATAATAAATTTTAGTTTAAATACTTAAGTTTATTATACCATACCTTCAAGTGTATGTTCAATATCATTGCATGTATACACCCAGAGCTCCCGGTGTTTAAAACTTTTTTGTATTTGTGTGGAAACGGGCGCATCGGGTTCACCACATGTTTGTGCAAAATGATAAACACGTAGATCGCACAGTGATATTGAAAATGGTTTAATCCCTTTACTTTTATTTAATGCAAATTCTATGTAAAGTTTACTTGTATTGTATGTCTGTATGGTGTCTGTACTTTCGCACAGGTATTCAAAGTTCAAATATTTTTGACTGTTTGTCTTTCGCAATGTTTTATTGTCGAAATTATTATTAATGGTAGTTTTGCTCAGTTCACATCCCGTTCCCTCTAATGTCAAACTAACATTGATTGAGAACTCCTGGTGTGACCATCTTTGTTGCAGATTTTCGGCATATAATCTCAGTCTAATGTAATTTATATCTTGATTATCGTTGAGACCCAATATCCATGTTTGCCTAGAATTGGTACCCCATTTTGGACAGTTGTTCGCAGGTTTACCTTCTGGAGGTGTATAAGCTCCCAAACTGTTATGTTTCGGCAGTGATTTGTATGTAACTGTCGATCGTTTTACGTAATCATTAATAGCCAAAGATATCAATTGTGTTGCATTTGTGTAATTGATTGCTAAATAGTAAAAGTTAATTGATTAGATTTTTTAAATGTTTGTTTTAAATATTTATTACTAAATATTTAAGTTTATCTATTGATAACATAATACTTTACTAATTTGTTTTAAAAATATGCTCATTTAAATTGAATTTACTATTTTTATATTGACGTTTAGTTAGAAATACTGTATAAATTAAAAACTACTAAAAGTTTTTTTAAGGAAGTATTTTTTCTTTTAAATTCATTGATTTATATTAATTGCAAACTTAATTCACAGGCGACACATCACTAAAATGCTCATAAAATGAAAATTTTCTAAACATTTTATAATTTAATGTCATTAAACCCATAAAAATATTTTTCTATTACTAGATTTGGTCGGACAGGTAGACACAYACTCATATTAACAACAACGTGATATACACATGATTTTTATTTAAGATTAATTAAAATTATTATAGTATTGAATGACATTCATTTCATTTATTTGACATTTATATTTAATTTTTAATAATTATAGTTTTTTTAGATGTTTAATAATCTAGTAATTTAATATTAAAATTTATTAGTAATTAAATAAAATATCAGCTAATTTGGAGAAGTTCTATCAATTTTCAACATTATTTATTAAATTTATTAAATTAAATTTCACTGTCTCTGAATATAATCTATTAAATAATAATGTTTTTTAAAAAATAACTTTATTTTATTGTACAAATATAATGCTATAAAAACAATTTTTTTTTWAAATATAGCATCTATTTAATAATAATAGATTATCAGATTTATTATTAAATTATCCTATTTTTTAACTACTATTACTTTTATATATTTCTTAAATAAACTTCTATTGACTTAAATATTAATTTATAATACTATCTCTTTTATGTTATATATAATATTAGATTAATGTTTACACAACATATTTTAATATAATAATCATTAATAGTAAATATAAATTATAATATATACCACAACGGGGTACATTGCCCGACCATTTGCCACGATTACATGTCCTCATTGGATTGCCTACCAAAACATTGAGTGGATCTGAGCACTGGTATCGTACCTGAGTTCTATGATCATTATGTGTCTCACTACTGGCATTATAGTGTACATACTGTTCCAGTAGGGCTGATTGGACAGTGGTATTGTTTATACTATTAGTTCGGACCATTATCATTAAACCTGGAGGTCTGGCTATAGTACCACAATCACATATTTCAAAGTCATCACATATATTGATACTTTCATAAATTGTTTGATTATTATTATTATTATTACTTATAGAATCAGTATTATTCATATTAGTTGCATATACACTGACAATAAGTAGATTTAATAATAATAATAAAAATATTTTACACAAAATTCTAAAAGTAAGCATAGTTTTAAAAGAAAAATTATAAATAAAATAAAGATATAGATTAATTTGTCAACAAAAAGTTTTATTTATTATTTTTGTTAACTACTGTATAAATATGTTGAAGTTTACTGATCGTCATAATTGTATGTTTTTTAATCCTCAAAACTGTACTGTCATTGTGTTAACGTATAAGCGGACATAAATCTCCTCTTTAATTGTGAACCGCCTAATGAAATCCCGGTGACATTTCCTTAAGCATTACATAATTGATACATGTATTGAAAAATTGATATACATTTTACACTTTAATAACTAAATTGCTAATTTTTTTTGTTGGGTTAATACATTTTGTTGTTTTTAAAGTTTATGCAAAAAATATATAAACAAAAAAAACAATTTTTGTTTGTTATTTCATTATTTAACTAGAATTAACTGCTACTTAAATATAATTGATGATAAAAATATAAATTTTATTATTATTCTATAATTTAGACATAATAATTTATTGTATATTTACATTTGATATATTTTTAATTACTAATTAAATAGTTTTTTTATTAGATATAAATTATTAATATATATTTAATATATTTATAATTATCTAATATATTTTAGTGGTTGTCGTTACATCAAATACAGTTTCATTGGTTGACTTTAACTCTAATCCATAGCTATGCCTAACATTTCGTTTAGTATTGGGATCGGTATCCCAAATGCCACCATTAAAGACAAGTTCACTATAAGTCAATGTTGACGAACCCAACGAGCACCGGGACGCACATTTGCCAAGTATCTGTATCCTTCTAAATAAGGCCTTATTTTGATATATACCACCCTGTACGCATCCCTGATCATTGTTTACTTTATACAATCCCGTTCCCCATATGAGATCACCATGACATCTACCTCCTTGAATTGATCCACATTCTAGATAATCAAGATTACCTAATGATAAAGATAATTATAGATAAATTATATATTTATTTTTAAATTTTTGTCAATCTATAAATTGTAAAAATTTGTAACCATTATTAAAAGTACTGATTTGTGTATAATTAACTATATATAATGTCTCAATTTGTTGAAGTTTGTCATCGACATCATGTTGTTGTCCCCAAACTGATGCTTGATATCGATCATTGTTTTTGTTGACTATAATACCATTACATGTAATTGCACCCGACGGCGGATTACTGGTCCCATATGATAACTGATTGATTACTGATCGTGAATCGCACTTATAGGTGGAACTGTATGTTAGGCCTACTTTGACAATTGGCGTAAAATCTACATAATGACAAATTAAAGTTATTTAATGATTATATTTTTATATAAATGAGAATTTAGATACCAACGTTCCGTAAATTATTGGGAATAACTGTCAAAAAATAGAAAAATAGTTTTAATGGTTATATATATTTTAATCATTTCTCAAAAATAACATATTTTTGGCTAACCTTTGCACTGGTTATGTACTACAGGTTTTCCTTGAGTTTCTGGTCTCGGATAGGACTCGTGTTGTGGTTTTTGCCAATCAGGCTTAGGATGCCATTCCTGATCGGGTCTGCGCTCGGGTTGCGGTTTTACCCACTCATTTACTAAAGGTTTTTTCGCTGGTTTGTGGCCATTTTGTCCGTGCGATTGCCATTGCGGTGGCTTATCATCATATACTTGACTGTTTGAATCCAAATCTAAAGTTTCTTGTGGCAGGTGTTGCTCCTGACTGGGCCTAACTGGTTGTTCCGGTAGACTATTGTCTAAATCCATTTCCAACTCATTGGGTATTATCACTGGTAGCGCATCAATATCTGTCAAATGGTCAAACTGTTTGTCCGAATTTGGTTTGGATTTTGATTGATAACTAATACATATTAATTGATAAATAATAGTAATAATAATTATAAATTGTGCGGTTAACATTGTGATAATAAAGTTTTAATATTTATAAATTATTTATTTTATTAATCAAAAATATTATCTTTATAAAAATCATTATTTATATATTATTTAATTTTTAATTTATATATATATATTAATAATAATATTTTTTTTATATAAAAAATAGTTTTTTTGTCAATTTATTTATTATAAACTTGAACTTTTAAAGTTTGAAAATAATAAAAACATATGTTATTATTATGATACTAATAATTTAAGAACATAAATGTTATTTTTTTTAATTACTTATTTATAAAAATTCATCATTTTTTTTATTTCAACATATTATATAAAATATTATACTTTATTATATTCATTATATTAAATAATATTCGCTTTTTATAATGTTATTATTATATGATTAATGTTTTTTATTTAATTATGAAACTTACATTTTTCTTGTATTATGGTTTCTATTAACAATACTAAGTTTTAATGTATTTATTAATAAAAAACTAATTAAATTAAATAATCATATTGTAATATAATAAAAATACAGTAATTATTAAATAAATAAACATAAAACATATTTATCAAAACAATTATGATAATTTTTGTATAAGCGATTATTGAATGATAAAATGTCCAAAATATTTTGGATCTAATAATTAAAATTGACTATTTTTATATCAGGTAATCAAGGTGTATATTTGACATTATATAAACTTTATTTATTTATAAAAATATATCCATAATGTATTATAGTATAATAAATTTACTTATTTTGAGTTATTATTATTATTATTATTATAAAATCTAATAGTTATAATGTATGATTACTTTAAACAATATATTATTATGTTTTAATTTCTTGATATATATTTTTATGTCAATAAAAATTAACAAAGTATTATAAATATCATTAATTTGAATGTATTTTTTATTTAAATGTAATAAATTATTAACTTATAATACAATTAATTTATGACAATCACATTGACTATTCGTCTGCATCGTCAGTATCGACAATCGCCGATCGGTCGACAACACCATAATTGTTGATCAATTGGCTGTATTGTTGTGTTGAACTGCCCAACGAGCACCTGGAGGCACACTTGCCTTTGATTTCAATATGCCTGGACAGTGCTGTCTGTGATGATATACCACGTTTGCAACAACCATTCTGATCGTTTGTCTCATAGATACCGGTGCCCCAGAAAATATCACCCGAACACTTGCCACCGGAAATAATACCGCATTCAAGATAATCATAGTTTCCTTAATGAAATGTTTTTAAAATAAAAATAAATATCAAAAAAAATATTAGGACCAAAAATAAATCTATTTATAGGACAAACCATTATTAAATGTATTGATTTGTGTATAGTTAACAATCTGTAGTCTTTCCTTATGTTTGCCGCCGCCATAACTGTGCGACGGAAATATGGCATCGTATGAATCTTCGCCGCGTTCAACGGTAACACCATTACAGGTCACCTGCATTACAGACGTTCCGTCATAAGACAACTGTTTGACCACTGAGTTGGCATCGCATGGATAGACAGACTGTGAAGATACTTCTGGTCTGGCAATTGGTGTGAACTCTAGATTTGATTTGTTTTTGTATTAAAACAAAATTAATCTACAATTATATCATAAAAATTATTTTTTTTTTAGTGTTTTTGTTGATTACATACCAACATTGAAAACGTTTTTGGGAATTACTGTTTAAATAAACAATTATTTAAAATTAATTAAATTATTGAGTTAAAAAAACTATTAACAAAAATTAACCTTTGCACTTGTATTCTGGTTTAGGAGGTGCCCACTCAGGCTTAGGAGGCGCCCACTCAGGCTTAGGAGGTGACCATTCTGGTTTGGGAGGCGCCCATTCAGGTGCCGGTGGCTTATATTCGGGTGCCGGCGGTCTCCACTCGGGTGCCGGTGGCCTCCATTCAGGTGCCGGCTGTTGCCATTCTGGTGCCGGTTCGTGATGACCGCCCCATTCGGGTGCCGCTTGCGGTGGACGCCATTCGGGCTGTTGTGGTGGTCGCCAATCCGACTCCGGCTCGAACTCCGGTGTCTCGGGTTTCCACTGAGGCTTAGGTTTGTGTCCATATTGTAGACTAATGCCTAATATTGTCGATAATATTAATAGTGATTTCATAATTTGTGAGTATCTTTCTATGTATTGTTTAATTCTATGTTTAATTAAAAAATTGATGAAAAATAAAAATTTTTGTTTGAAACCAACAAAACAAAAAAATCTGTTCACAACTTTTTATAGGTTTTTATATTTAATTTTTTCTATTGAAATAAAAAATTATTCTCACATTTTGGTTTCACAATTAAAGTCAATATATGCTCCGTTTATCACCACTTGATGGCTTAAATTAGAGGGCAATTGCCTTTAAATTTTAATTTTATACATGTGTGCGACAGACAACATATTTATAATTTAATTATCATTTCTAATAAAAAACAATTAATTAAGAAATATTCAAAAGTTTTATTATTTATTATAATTTATTTTGTAAAACTAATGATTTTTATTTATTTAAATACAATACAGTACTAAGTATTGCTAGTTATTTATGACTAATAAAAATTTAATATTATAATTTCATTTTAAATAGTTTTATCTATATATTATAAATAAAAGCTGAATTATTTCGCAACATTTATTATTTATAAACAATTAGCACAATTAGATTAATTGATAATTTTATTTTTTATAAATATTAATTAAAAAATCAAAATTATGTAATACTGTAATTTATTCTACTGTAAGTTATATACTGTAATAATTAATAGTACTTAAATTTATTAATAAATTATTGATTTATTTTAAATATAAAAATTTAATCTTTATTTTTATTATCTAGTTTATCTATATGTTCTAATATCTCACCAATATCATTGTTACTATTACTACTACTATT